AGCTCTCATAGAAAGGGAAAATAATGTGCTAAAAGCAGTTTCATGTATTTATATAACAGTCATTAGTTGGAAGCCAATTTTCAAATTCAATTTTAGTAACTAAAGTTATGACGCATGAAGGGTATCAATTTAGCTGAATTTAAAGCTAGGGTATACGATTTCAAAGATTGTTTATTATTAATATCCTCGTTTAGATGCTGGTTATGGTTATATAGTACAATCCTAACAATATGAATAGAAAAAAGAACTAAAAAAATCCATTCACTCTATTGGCTGGACAGCCGCAGAAAAGTTGACCAATGTAAGCTGTGCGGCCGCACAGCTTATATTGGTCAACTGCTCTCATCCAATCACCAGCTCCACTTGAAACTCCGCCTGGCGCTCGCGTCTCCAACCCAACCCAACCGCACCCGCCCCCCTCCGTGCGCGAGCAAACAGCTGACAGACTGTCTATGGTAGCTAGCTAGTAGCGTCAGATCAGCAATGGATAAAGCAATGGATAAAAATATAAACGACAACAGCAAGCGGCCCCTGCTTACCTCTACTGTAAAGTTTGGACGCAAGAGAAAGTCTGTGGAGGAAAGATCAGAGATTAAAAAGATATGTGAAGAACGCCGGACTCTTAAGTAGGATAAATATAGTGTCCTTCATTGACCATTGGAGAAAGCTTCAGGGAGATCTGGGGCTGAAAACGACGCTGACACGGATGACTTTTTGTTGAGCAGGTAAACATTTATTTATTCTTTTATGGTGTGACGTTTACGTGGCTTTTTATCAGTTTGACAACTTGCTCATGCTGCCGGTCGGCATTGGAATGTTAGCCGTTTAGCATCGCCGATCGCGGTTCAGAGTAATTATATTTCTTGTTCGAGGTTTCTGTTCAAGCCGATCGGAATTTGAACAAGATGCGCTGCGTGCTGCAATAACAATTACTGAAAACCTTAGCAATACTAGTAGTATTATAATGGTGGTGGTGAGTTTAGAACATTTCATGTGTTGCTAATCTTGCGTGAACTCAAACGTGACATAGCCTACGTCAGGGATCAGGTAGCACAGAGGGGAGGGGGGTGTGTGTGGAGGGGCGGGATGAGTTTTTTAAAACTTCACTACCGTCTCGACCGATTTTTAACATCGTATACCATAGCTTTAAAAGGGCCATTTAGATACATTTATAATGTTACTGAATGTCTGCAGTTGTAACATTTCAAGACCAAAAACAGCATTTTATTTGCAAAAATGTGAGATTTGTTATTGTTTTTCTTACATAGTAGTACACTCTAACAATGCAATAAAAGCTTCTTTTGGAGATCATGAGTCCACGTGTTGTTGTTTTCTAACTAAGACACTGTCACAGTAAGGGTAAAATCTTTCCGTGGCAGGGACAGCTGCCACCGAGACCTGTCACTCCACCCGTCACCGCTAGTGGCAGCTGTCACTCGACCTGCCACCGCTATATGCGCCTGTCACTCGACCTGCCACCGCTATATTCGCCTGTCACCCAACCTGCCACCGCTATATGCGCCTGTCACCCAACCTGCCACCGCTATATGCGCCTGTCACCCGACCTGCCACCGCTATATTCGCCTGTCACCCGACCTGCCACCGCTATATTCGCCTGTCACCCGACCTGTCACCGCTATATTCGCCGGTCACCCGACCTGTCACCGCTATATTCGCCTGTCTCTCGACCTGTCATCGCTATATTCGCCTGTCACCCGACCTTTCACGGCTATAGGCTACTATATGCGCATGTCCCGCGACCCGTCACGGCTTTATGCGCCTGTCTCTCGCCCTGTCACTCCTGTATACGCGCGTGTCCCGCGACCCGTCACGGCTATATAGCCTACGCGCCTCTTACTCATGGTTAAATAAATCTAGATATGGGCTAGTTAATATTCTATGCAGCCTATTCTACACAATATAGCCTAGTAGTAGGCCTATGATTATTTAATATAGGCTATGCTGTTTGAGAAATATTTCGAAAAAAAAGAAACTCCTTTTATTATTATAATTAGCCTACTATTAATAATTAGCCTATTATTTGCGAATTTCCCCACTGTAAAATAAAATAAAACAATCAGGCGAGCTATCATGATTTCTGGAGCGCGTCTCATAAATTAACTGAAACAAAAGCCTATCTAAAGCCTGAAATATGCAAATGTCCACTTTAAACGAATTAAGCAAATACCGATTATACAGTCCGAAAGGTGCATTTCTCTAAAGCGCAGAGAGATATGTTTAGCCCACACTATAAAACAGTTTATTTAAACAATAAAAATCCATCTTTATTTTTCAGACACATTAATTATGATTAGCCTATAAATTACCTATAAATCATCTGTTAAATCATTTGCCTCGTCCCCCAAAATGTGCCGCATGATTCAACCATGCCTCCTGTTTAGATGCGGGATGCATTGCATTGTTTTTAAAATCCTTTTTTTAAAATGGATAATTTCTTGCATTTTCTAAAAAAAAAAAAAACTACATTTAGGCTACTTTTATCTTTAAAGTCCATTTTTAGAGGAAAAATCTCAGTAGGCTATACTAAGCGAAACAAATAAAATAAAATAAAATAATAATAGCACAGTTCAAAAACTGTAAAATATTTGGTTATAAGTTATAAATAATTGTATGTTAAACATATTACTGTCTTCGGTGAACTCTAGTAGGCTAATAAACGCAAATAATAATTAGCTATCAAAATCCATTTAGCTGCATAGCCTAGGCCTAGCCTAAGACGCTTTTATCCACACAAAAAAAGAACAGAGCAATTCGTCAAATGTCAGTCTAGACAATAATAATGGGCTAAGATTATAACAAACACAGGTTTTTGACGCATCCAAGTGTTTGTGGAGCGCGCATGCATGTCACTGAGTCGCAGCCGCAAAGCATGTTCCTAACAGTGGAACAATTTAAAATAATCTAGCATTTCTGGTCATACAGAAAAAAATACATTAGCCTATAAGCTACATAATACATTATTTGTAACTACTTTTATTTGTGTAAACTCACAAGAAAACGGTGTATTTGTAAAATAACAAAGGTGTGTATTTGTAAAAAATAAAATAAAACAATCAGGCGCGTTTTTCTTCTCCGGAGCGCGTCTCATAAATGAGCTGAAACAAAAGCATAAAGCTTGAAATATCCACTTTTAAACGAACAAATTCGAATCGAAAGCAAATACCGTCTGATTATACAATCCGAAAGAGACATTTCTCTCTAAAGGTGCATCCGCTTCACAGCGGAGATGGAAATGTTTAGCCCGTCACTAGAAAACTGTTTATTTAAACAATAAAAATCCATCGTTATTTTTTTAGACACATTTATTATGATTAGCCTATAAATCACTTATAAATGTATGGTTCCCGAGACATGCTCTTCTCATTTAGCACTGCGGGCAAAATATAGTTTTTTTTTTCTAATTTGATTTTAGAAAGTAAAATTTTTTTTACATATTAATTTGCGAATATTTTAAATATTTAATTAAGGCAAAAAGTCAATGTTATTTATATTCTGTGCACAAACACTTGGATATGCGTCAAAATCTTGTGTTTGTTTGTGATAATCTCAGTATTATTATTGTCTAACCTGTATTATGACTGACATTTGACGAATTTCTTTGTTTCTTTTTTTTTTATAAAAGCGTCTTATAAATATCTAAATATGTAGCCTAAATGTAATAATAATAGCCTAATTATTATTATTAGGCCTATTATTTGTGTTTATAACTTTAAATGAGTTCACTTAAGACAGGAATATGTTAATCATAAAACAATTTATGAATGTTTTATTTTTATAGGCCTATAACTTTGTGTTTGTGTTATATTTATTTATTTTTTGTGAAGTCCTTTTAAAAACAATGCAACCCGCATCTAAAAGGTCTGTTTGAAATTAATCATGCGGCACACTCTGGACGAGCCACAAATCCGTGAGTACGGATTACAAACCCGTGAGTACGGATTGCGAAAGCGTGGGCACGGTTTATCAATTTGGGTACAGATTGCAAAAACTGAGGGCACGGTTTACAAATCTGAGAGCACGGATTAGGAACTCGTGGGTACGGTGTATTAAAATTGTGGGCACGAATTGTTAAACCGAGGGAATAGTAGAATTCGTGAGTAGGCTACAGTTTATAAACTGAGGAGACGGATTGCAAAACCGTCACCTCGGATTGTTTTTTTTTTTTTTTTTTTTCCCCACAGGTGACTTCCCGGGCTCCGTAAATAATATTGCGTTCATATTTTGGACTCATCTTATTTTTTTATATAGGCTATGGTTTATTAATATGATTTGTACTGAGTTTGTTCTTTTAATATCACTGTCTTAGTGCACTGAGCCACGAAGCGTTTTTTCACGTTAAGCGTTATGTCCTGAGGGACAGGCGCGTAGCCGTGACAGGTCGCGGGACAGGCGCGTATATAGCAGGGACAGTTCGCGGGACAGGCGCGGATAGCCGTGACAGGACGTGAGATAGGCGCGTATAGCCGTGACAGATCGTGGGACAGGCGCGTATAGTCGTGACAGGACGCGGGATAGGCGCGTATAGCCATGACAGATCGTGGGACAGGCGCGTATGGCCGTGGCAGGACGCGGGACAGGCGCGTATAGCCGTGACAGGTCGGGTGACAGGCGAATATACCGGTGACAGGTCGAGAGACAGGCGCATATAGCGGTGGCAGGTCGGGTGACAGGCCAATATAGCAGTGGCAGGTCGGGTGACAGGAGAATATAGCGGTGGCAGGTCGAGTGACAGGCGCATATAGCGGTGGCAGGTCGAGTGACAGGCGAATATAGCGGTGGCAGGTCGAGTGACAGCTGCCACTAGCGGTGACGGGTGGAGTGACAGGTCTCGGTGGCAGCTGTCCCTGCCACGGAAAGTGGCAGGGACAGCTGCCACCGAGACCTGTCACTCCACCCGTCACCGCTAGTGGCAGCTGTCACTCGACCTGCCACCGCTATATGCGCCTGTCACTCTGTCATTAAATAATCGCCATTGCAACTTCACTTGGAAGAAAAAAAACGAAGTAAAAGTTTATTCAGCTGTACTATAGAAATTCATATCCCGACATATTACCAATGTAAAAAAAAAAAGTTAAAAGTGTTACATTGTGCAGCATCATGAAAAACACCACGTCACCCTACCATTAAGCATTGAAGACATATTGTTTGTTCTACGGTTAAAAAACAAATACAATTGCATGGCTATACACTGTTAACTGTTGTAAGGCAGAAAATGTATTGAATCCATGTAACTATTTTAATTGCAGTCCTAATTAGGGCTTAGGGACTTGATCAACATATAATTACAAACCACTGAAATGCAATAAACAGAGTAGTGTTCAATGCATTAATTGCATGAGAGAATTTTTAAATTAGTAATGATAAACTAAAGTTAAATAAGAAGTAATCAGCCTACATCTATACAAATAATCCTGATGCATGTATTTACAACATGGCAAGGCTGTGCGACACCCTGCAAAATTTATTTTTCACCATTTTAAGACCTTTTCAATATGGAACAAATCTCTTTGGTTTATTCAATGTTCTAAACAAGACTATATAACAAAGTCTCATTTAGACTTATGTTGTATACATTCATTTAAAACTTTACACAAACAAATCAAAATGTGGAATTATTAAGCTTGTGAATCGTTGAATTTTAGGTTCAAATACAAAGAGCAAACAACAAATACTATTGAGCAGACAATACTGAATGCTTTGCCCCACAGAACTCAAGAAGAAGCCCACGTATGCAGATGCTGTAAAATGGTGCTTCCCCTCGAGTTTTAAAAGTGCTTTTAAAAGCCTAACACTGCTTACCTTGATCAAGTGCCCATTTATTTCTATTTAGACTGACACATCTAGGCACTTAAACAAAAAGTATAAAAAGTGTCAAAATAGCTCACAAGAAAAATCCATACACCACACACTCGTATATAAAACACTGAACGTGTTCAAGCTTAAAGACGTTTAAAATACAGCCGTGTTCCTCCGATCCCACATTCCTCTAGGAATGAAGATGGTAGTCTGGGCACGGGTGAGAGTGACGGTAGCCGGTTATGAAAAGTGTAGACTTATGCCACCAGTAGAACATGAGCACCACCAGTATGTGCCAGACCTGATGGCTGGAGCCCAAGTAGTTCAGCTGACCTAGGGATGACAAAAAGAGCATCAAACCATTAATGAACTTGTGTGAGGTTGGTTCTCGCTTAAGCCAGGTGTGGTCTTTGGTTTAGTCCATCACAACTTATTTCTTTGGCAGTATCACATTTGAATTTTAAAGTACCTGGAAAATAACGCTCTGGAACTTTCGACATGTAGAAGATGATAGCAGCTACAGCAAGTACATACATTATCAGCACTCTGGGAATAAATTCCTATGAAAAAATATATATATTAAAAATTATTACACATTTGTATAGTCTGGTATAGTGATTACTGGCATATGTATAAAAAATTTTAAAAAAAAAACCCTGATGTGAGGACTCTTACCTGGACTATGTCTGAGCTGAAACCCCCACTGAGCCAGATCCAATGAAAGGTAGGGATTAGGCCGTATCCCGCTACAGCACAGAATATAACAGAGCGAAGCTTCTGCCACTTCTTGGTCAAGTAATGAGGGTGTATCTGGGCAAAGAACACTGCCAGCATCATGGCCAGAACGGTTACCAGGTACACCTGCCGCCAGTACTGCAGATAGAGATACAAACCAAAGAAAACAACATGAATCAAAAACTCACGAAAGTCATCTTAATGTGCACAACACGCACAGAAAAAAAAAATCACTTCTTCTGTAGGGAAAAAAAAAGCAATAGAGAAATCAGTCTCTCTTTCTCTTGGGGCGCTTGGCTGATTGAGTAGTCATCCAAAAAGCAAAGCTAAACACTTGGCAGGGGGAGAGTGGAGATGGCTCACCCACGTGTGAATGTCATATGGTGGGGAACAGGAGTGACGGAGTGGGTCCACGAACACGGCCATCTGCTTTGGGCTGGAGCAGATTTCTGCCGCATTCTGGGGCACAATAAGCCAGCACTTCCAATATGTAGGGAGAACCATGTGGAGCAGCGTGGCCAAAAGCGCTGGTGCTCGGCAAACAGCAAGTGGGAGTAGAGGGGACGAAAGCAATCAGCTTGCTCAGGATTTCCAAGATCCAAGCTTTCAGAAAACTGCACCAAAAATCTTGAAACAAAGAAGATTTCACGCCAAGCGGCACCTCGTCGTTTTTATACAGGCAGTACAAAGCCGCTCCACAGGGGTCCATTGTGCAAACTAACGGGAAGGAATAAACTATCATACAACATAATCAAAGATACTCTACCGCAGTGTTACAGTAATCTCTAGGGAAAAGTCACCACGCGACAGTGTGCACTTCCAACTTTCCTATTAAATCGTTCGTACTATTCCTCGTTTTTAACCCCCTCAGACCTGAATTATGTTTCAAGTTTCTGAAAAATATAAAAGTACATTTTCCCAGCTCATGAGGTTTTTATAAATGAAAACAAATGATTTTTTTTTTTTTATAATTGCTTTCATTGTGATTTTTTTTTGGTCCATTCCAATGGACATCAGGTCAAAACAGGTGTACTTCCCAAAAATGTACCAACATGAAATAAATTAATAAACATAAAATTTGTTGGTCTATGTTTTAAGCTGTTTCTCAAGGTCAAAAAAATTCCAGCAGTATACCATTTAAACTATAATTTTGAGGTTTTTGTTTTACAGATTGCACATTGTTTGTAACAAACCAAATATATTCGAAACACTCAATCTGGTCATATTGGAGTCATTTTCTGTGTGCCTCTTTCTTTTTTTAGAGCAAAAACTTGAACATTAAAACATTACAACTTTAATCGCTCAAGTCATCAATATCTCAGCTCAGGAAGGCTCTAGAGACTCAATTTTTGCACTCAGGTCTTTTTTGAGTTTCTCTGATCTTCTTGAAACTCTGGATTCTGACAGAGGGCCATGAGACTTAGACCTGAGTGCAAAAATGGAGTCTCTAGAGCCTTCCTGAGCTGAGATATCAAAACTCAAAATTTCGACCCGAAAAAAAAACACGAAAGGGGTACCACTGTCGTTTTTTTTTTTTCGGGTCGAAATTTTGAGTTTCTCTGATCTTCTTGAAACTCTGGATTCTGATAGAGGGCTATGAGACTTAGACCTGAGTGCAAAAATGGAGGCTCTAGAGACACTTCCAGAGCTGAGATATCAAAACTCAAAATTTCGACCCGAAAAAAAAACGAAAGGGGTACCACTGTGGGTTTTTTTTTCGGGTCGAAATTTTGAGTTTCTCTGATCTTTTTGAAACTCTGGATTCTGATAGAGGGCCATGAGACTTAGACCTGAGTGCAAAAAATTTAGGCTCTAGAGACCCTTCCAGAGCTGAGATATCGAAACTCAAAGATTCGACCCGAAAAAAAAAACGAAAGGGATACCACTGTCGTTTTTTTCGAGTCGAAATTTTGAGTTTCTCTGATCTTCTTGAAAATCTGGATTCTGATAGAGGGCCATGAGACTTAGACCTGAGTGCAAAAATTGAGGCTCTAGATGCTTCCAGAGCTGAGATATTGAAACTCAAAAATTCGACCCAAAAAAAAAACGACAGTGGTACCCCTTTCGGTTTTTTTTTTCGGGCGAAAAATTAAGGTTCTCCAATCTTCTCAAAACTCCTGATTCTGATAGAGGGCCATGAGACTTACACTTGAGAGCAAAAATTGAAGGCTCTATACCCTTCCAGAGCTGAGATAACGAAACTCAAAAATTCGACCCGAAAAAAAACCCTTTCGTTTTTTTTTTTCGGGCGAAAAATTAAGTTTCTCCAATCTTCTCAAAACTCTGGATTCTGATAGAGGGCCATGAGACTTAGACCTGAGTGCAAAAATGGAGGCTCTAGACCCTTCCAGAGCTGAGATATTGAAACTCAAAAATTCGACCCAAAAAAAAAACGACAGTGGTACCCCTTTCGTTTTTTTTTTTCGGGCGAAAAATTAAGTTTCTCCAATCTTCTCAAAACTCTGGATTCTGATAGAGGGCCATGAGACTTACACTGAGTGCAAAAATGGAGGCTCTATACCCTTCCAGAGCTGAGATAACGAAACTCAAAAATTCGACCCGAAAAAAAAACCCTTTCGTTTTTTTTTTTCGGGCGAAAAATTAAGTTTCTCCAATCTTCTCAAAACTCTGGATTCTGATAGAGGGCCATGAGACTTACACCTGAGTGCAAAAATGGAGGCTCTAGACCCTTCCAGAGCTGAGATATCGAAACTCAAAAATTCGACCCGAAAAAAAAAACGACAGTGTTACCCCTTTCGTTTTTTTTTCGGGCGAAAAATTAAGTTTCTCCAATCTTCTCAAAACTCTGGATTATGATAGAGGGCTGTGAGACTTTGACCTGAGTGCAAAAATGGAGGCTCTAGACCCTTCCAGAGCTGAGATATCGAAATTCAAAATTTCGACCCGAAAAAAAAAACGACAGTGTTACCCCTTTCGTTTTTTTCATTTTCAGGCGAAAAATTAAGTTTCTCCAATCTTCTCAAAACTCTGGATTCTGATAGAGGGCCACGAGACTTTGACCTGAGTGCAAAAATGGAGGCTCTAGACCCTTCCAGAGCTGAGATATCGAAATTCAAAATTTCGACCCGAAAAAAAAAAACGACAGTGTTACCCCTTTCGTTTTTTTTCGTTTTTCGGGCGAAAAATTAAGTTTCTCCAATCTTCTCAAAACTCTGGATTATGATAGAGGGCCTGGAGACTTTGACCTGAGTGCAAAAATGGAGGCTCTAGACCCTTCCAGAGCTGAGATATCGAAACTCAAAAATTCGACCCGAAAAAAAAAAACGACAGTGTTACCCCTTTCGTTTTTTTTTTTTCGGGCGAAAAATTAAGTTTCTCCAATCTTCTCAAAACTCTGGATTATGATAGAGGGCTGTGAGACTTTGACCTGAGTGCAAAAATGGAGGCTCTAGACCCTTCCAGAGCTGAGATATCGAAATTCAAAATTTCGACCCGAAAAAAAAAACGACAGTGTTACCCCTTTCGTTTTTTTTCGTTTTTGGGCGAAAAATTAAGTTTCTCCAATCTTCTCAAAACTCTGGATTATGATAGAGGGCTGTGAGACTTTGACCTGAGTGCAAAAATGGAGGCTCTAGACCCTTCCAGAGCTGAGATATCGAAATTCAAAATTTCGACCCGAAAAAAAAACGACAGTGTTACCCCTTTCGTTTTTTTTTCGTTTTTGGGCGAAAAATTAAGTTTCTCCAATCTTCTCAAAACTCTGGATTATGATAGAGGGCTGTGAGACTTTGACCTGAGTGCAAAAATGGAGGCTCTAGACCCTTCCAGAGCTGAGATATCGAAATTCAAAATTTCGACCCGAAAAAAAAACGACAGTGTTACCCCTTTCGTTTTTTTTTCGTTTTTGGGCGAAAAATTAAGTTTCTCCAATCTTCTCAAAACTCTGGATTATGATAGAGGGCTGTGAGACTTTGACCTGAGTGCAAAAATGGAGGCTCTAGACCCTTCCAGAGCTGAGATATCGAAATTCAAAATTTCGACCCGAAAAAAAAAACGACAGTGTTACCCCTTTCGTTTTTTTCGTTTTTGGGCGAAAAATTAAGTTTCTCCAATCTTCTCAAAACTCTGGATTATGATAGAGGGCTGTGAGACTTTGACCTGAGTGCAAAAATGGAGGCTCTAGACCCTTCCAGAGCTGAGATATCGAAATTCAAAATTTCGACCCGAAAAAAAAACGACAGTGTTACCCCTTTCGTTTTTTTTCTTTTTGGGCGAAAAATTAAGTTTCTCCAATCTTCTCAAAACTCTGGATTATGATAGAGGGCTGTGAGACTTTGACCTGAGTGCAAAAATGGAGGCTCTAGACCCTTCCAGAGCTGAGATATCGAAATTCAAAATTTCGACCCGAAAAAAAAAACGACAGTGTTACCCCTTTCGTTTTTTTTCGTTTTTGGCGAAAAATTAAGTTTCTCCAATCTTCTCAAAACTCTGGATTATGATAGAGGGCTGTGAGACTTTGACCTGAGTGCAAAAATGGAGGCTCTAGACCCTTCCAGAGCTGAGATATCGAAATTCAAAATTTCGACCCAAAAAAAAAACGACAGTGTTACCCCTTTCGTTTTTTTTCATTTTGGGCGAAAAATTAAGTTTCTCCAATCTTCTCAAAACTCTGGATTATGATAGAGGGCTGTGAGACTTTGACCTGAGTGCAAAAATGGAGGCTCTAGACCCTTCCAGAGCTGAGATATCGAAATTCAAAATTTCGACCCGAAAAAAAAACGACAGTGTTACCCCTTTCGTTTTTTTTTTTTTTCGGGCGAAAAATTAAGTTTCTCCAATCTTCTCAAAACTCTGGATTATGATAGAGGGCTGTGAGACTTTGACCTGAGTGCAAAAATGGAGGCTCTAGACCCTTCCAGAGCTGAGATATCGAAATTCAAAATTTCGACCCGAAAAAAAAACGACAGTGTTACCCCTTTCGTTTTTTTTTCGTTTTCGGGCGAAAAATTAAGTTTCTCCAATCTTCTCAAAACTCTGGATTATGATAGAGGGCTGTGAGACTTTGACCTGAGTGCAAAAATGGAGGCTCTAGACCCTTCCAGAGCTGAGATATCGAAATTCAAAATTTCGACCCAAAAAAAAAAACGACAGTGTTACCCCTTTCGTTTTTTTTCATTTTGGGGCGAAAAATTAAGTTTCTCCAATCTTCTCAAAACTCTGGATTATGATAGAGGGCTGTGAGACTTTGACCTGAGTGCAAAAATGGAGGCTCTAGACCCTTCCAGAGCTGAGATATCGAAATTCAAAATTTCGACCCGAAAAAAAAACGACAGTGTTACCCCTTTCGTTTTTTTTTTCGTTTTCGGGCGAAAAATTAAGTTTCTCCAATCTTCTCAAAACTCTGGATTATGATAGAGGGCTGTGAGACTTTGACCTGAGTGCAAAAATGGAGGCTCTAGACCCTTCCAGAGCTGAGATATCAAATTCAAAATTTCGACCCGAAAAAAAAAACGACAGTGTTACCCCTTTCGTTTTTTTTTCGTTTTCGGGCGAAAAATTAAGTTTCTCCAATCTTCTCAAAACTCTGGATTATGATAGAGGGCTGTGAGACTTTGACCTGAGTGCAAAAATGGAGGCTCTAGACCCTTCCAGAGCTGAGATATCGAAATTCAAAATTTCGACCCAAAAAAAAAACGACAGTGTTACCCCTTTCGTTTTTTTTCATTTTGGGGCGAAAAATTAAGTTTCTCCAATCTTCTCAAAACTCTGGATTATGATAGAGGGCTGTGAGACTTTGACCTGAGTGCAAAAATGGAGGCTCTAGACCCTTCCAGAGCTGAGATATCGAAATTCAAAATTTCGACCCGAAAAAAAAACGACAGTGTTACCCCTTTCGTTTTTTTTTCGTTTTTGGGCGAAAAATTAAGTTTCTCCAATCTTCTCAAAACTCTGGATTATGATAGAGGGCTGTGAG